GTGGATATTTCTCTTGCCGGATAAGCTGGGAGACTGAAAATTCGCTGGGGAATTCTACTTTCAAATGCGGTCTTAATTCTACTTCGAGGTGAAATTACTCGTAGGTAGGCGTGGGAAATACTCAACTTTACCGAAAAATCAGGAACGAGTGCGTTTTGCAGCGAACGACCTTCTCATCCAAACATGTAAATGAACATTTAGGTCATTTGCATACTTGGATTTTTAGACGAACGGTCGCTCCAGCAACATTTCCACTTTCTAGTGAACAGGAAATTTGCATTTTTCAAAAAGCGAGCACCTGCCAAATCAGGCTGGAACGCACCGGGCGGGCCCATGGGATCATGCATTTCTGCACCGGACTTGAATTACTCAGGTCATTAACTCCATGAATGGCTGTTGTTTTATACCTACCTTTTGCGGTCACTAGCATAAATCGCCATAAATTTTGCAAAGTAAACGTAAAATTTCCATTTATGCCTCAAGCTGAACCTGAAATACTTAAATTGTACTTGACAGGGTACATTGCTCCAAAATTTCAGCTTTCCAGCTTTTCTGGTTACCTAGTTAGCAATGTTCCCAGCAAAACCTTCGCATACCTGTTTGTGCGTACCCCACGTGTCTGGAAAGCTGACTTTGACATTTTTCAATTGCACGTGGACAGGGAATATTCCCTTAAAATTTCAGCCTTTCAGCTCTTCTGGTTGCCGGCTTAGTAATTTTCCTGCAGAAACTTTCATGCGCCCTTACGTGAGTACCATGAATAGTTTAGGGCTGAGTTTGAAATATTTGAGTTGTACTTGAATAGGAAACATTCCCCCAAAATTTCAGCTTTCTAGCTTTCCTGGTACACGTAGCAATTTTCCCCCTAAAACTTTCATACGCTTTTACATGAGTACTACGCATACCTGGGGCTGAGTTTGAAATCTTTAGCTAGTACATGCACAGGGAATATCCCTGCAAAGTTTCAGCCCCGTAGCTCCTGTGGCGCCCGAGGTCGCTTTCCCGACAAAAAATTTGCATATTTTTATGCGTTTTTTGCAGTAATGCAATGCAAAAAACGCATATTGACGAGAGGTTGTCTGT